CATAGACTCAAATTTTATTAAAGCCTCACTCTGTTACTACAAACAGCTTGGCCTCAGTACACTTCAGTGGTCTAAACTTGTGTTCTCAATCTTCAATGGTGGCAACTTCTTCCTCTGTACAAACAAATGATCTGAAAAACTTTTACGTCTAAATTTGCTCTCTCCTCCTTTCTTCCTTCCTGCCTTTCTCTCCTCTTTCTTTCTTTCTTTCTAACTATACCTGTCTGGGGTAGCTCTTATATGTGGATGCTTATTGTCCGAGAGACCCCCACCTTTAACCAACAGCCATCCTAATAGGTCAGGAAATTTTCCTACATCAGGCTGTCAAAGGCTGATCCAATTCCCTATCACTCCCCTACCCACCTCTCCTCCACCAGGGCTCCTCCCATGCCTGTTTTCTCTAGTTTTGTATGATAATTCCTATTCTGAAAACAAATTCATAAAACAGGGTTTATAGTAAGATTTAGGAAACGCTTGTTTAATAAGGCAGGCACTAAAGCAGCACCTTCATGAACTGGTACAGGAATGTACCTCATGCTGGTAGCTGAACTTTGTAGTATGAGTCATCTAGGTGGTATGAGTTTTACAAAGATGTGAAGGTGTCATCAAAAGCAAACGAGACTTGGCACTGCGTGGCATCACTGGGACTCCTAAAGGGAGCCCAGGAGAGGCTATTGGTGAAAGCATCAGTAAGTTCTGAGGGTCTAATAAAGTGAAAAAAGGTCTAAGGAGATGAAAGCTGAAGAAAGTTCTGAAGGTATAAGAAAGTGTTTTAAGGCATGTAAATGAAAGTTCTAAAGGTATAAGAATGTGACTTAAAGTAATGAAATACCTTTCAGATCCCCCCCCCACACACACTGCCCCTTGCTATTGCTATATTAAGATTTCCAAGGTTCAGGAAACCTAGACCACTCATGTGGTGGCAGGGACTGGATTCAGCTCACCAGCAGGTTGCCAAAAGGAGATTTGTCCCTATAACACCCAATTGACTTCTCAAACACCTGTCCCCTATGCTGGCTTTCTCTATGATCAAACTAGAGATCAATGTCAACATTAACCAGAGACTTATGGAGGCTGCCCTTATTGGTCCTGTAGGAGGCATGATGCATATTCAGGAAGGCGTTCTACCTTTTATGCAAAATGATCACTCTTTTATATTCTAATTAAATCCCAGATGGGAGATAAAGTCATTGGTAAACTTTATGATTTATCAGGCACAATCAAAATACACCCCACTCTCTCAACCCCCAGGTATAGACAGGTAAAAGAAGTGGTCCAAAGCTCCTCAGAGATCCATACACCTCTCTTAGATGATACTGACCCCACCACACCATCTTTTGTTTCAGACCTTAACATTTTCATAACAGCTACTGAATAATGGTTTGCTTGACTGCTCTGGAAAACACTGGTTATGTGTCCCTCTTGAGTCAAACTGACAGCCATCATTTGTGGTCTCATCCACTGTCTTATTACACTCTCTCACCTGCTGCTCTTTAATTGCTCTAAGCCAAATGTCACTAGCACCCCTTATTTCTCCCACATCTCTCTTGGGTATCATAGACAGCTTTACCTCCTCAGGAACATTTCATGGGCACACTGGATTCTGCAGACTGCAATAATTTATTAACCCTTAGTTAAGTACTACCACACAACCCCTATGCCCAAACATTTACATTGCCTCAGTTCTTTGCAGCACTCAAGTTCATCACTGCCTACCTGCTCAGGGTAGTCTGGGACTTGTTTCTTGGTGGTCCTCTTCCCAAAACTAGTCATGGTACCCAGTGAAGAATTCTTGCCAATTCCCATCACAGGGTTTATAGTAGTCCTGGGTGTAACCACTGACATTACCACTGCAGCAGTGGGACTGACTAGTTCCCTAGCTATTTACCATCAGTTTTCCTCTTAGTTCATCCAGGATCCCCAATGGGTGGCTCCAGGGTAAAATAGACTTCCTGCCTGCCATAGCACTACAAAATCAGTGAGGATTAGATGTACTAACAGCAGAGAGAGGTGGTCTTTGTTTCTTCCTCAGGAAGGACTGTTGCTACTATGTCTATCCATCAAGTATAGTAAAACAGATGTGATAACAACAGATGGATATCCAAAAACGTAAGAAGCAGCTTGATGCCTCTGGCCAGTGGCTCATTGACAGTCCAATGTGGAAGGTAGTAAAGAGTAAAAAGCCTAAGCTTTGGACTTGAAATCCTACCAATCCCCACCCTGGAAAGCTTCACTCTGAAAAATTTGACTCCAGCCCCAAGAAACTCTATATAAACCCTGCCTTCTATTCAGCTCCCTGCTGTTTCTCACCGAGCAAAAGCAGCCACCCTCCTGGATTTTTTCCTCCCAGTAAGTCTCTTGTGTAAGGTTTGTGTGTGGTGTGACTTTGTGGTATTCCTTGGCTCCCAACTGCCAGGATATCTTAACATATGAGGTATAACAATTCATATAGAAACTATTTCAGAGTCAAATATGAGATGTTGGGCAAGTTTAGAACATTTGCTGCTTTTGCAAAGGATCTGGGTTTGATTCCCAGCTCCCACAACCATCCATAATTCCAGTTCCAGGGAATCTGACACCTTCTTCTGGCCTCCTGGAGCACCAAACACACACATAATGCACATACATGCAGGCAAACACTCTTATACAGGAAATAAACTATGTCTTAAAAAATATAATAAAATAAAAATAGTGAGATGTCAACAGTTTCCCTCCCTCCCTCCTTCCCTCCCTGCCTCCCTCCCTCTTTCCCACAGATTTCATGTGGGATCTTCAAACTCTTTTTGTCAGTTAAGAATAACCTCCAAGGAGCTGGAGAGACAGCTGATTGGTTAAGAGCACTGGCTACTATGAGGCTGGAGAGTTGGCTCAGCAGTTAGGAGCACTGGCTGCTCTTCCAGAGGACCTGGGTTCAATTCCTAGCACCCACATGGCAGCTCACAACTGTCTGTAATTTCATTTCCAGACGATCTGACATCCTTACACCAATGCACATAAAATTAAAAAAAAAAAATTGACCTTCGACTTCTGATCCTTTTTGCTGTTTCCTCGGTGCTGGGCTCACAGTTGTGTGCTACTACACTCAGTTTGTGCAGTGCTGGGAATCGAATTTGTAAACACTATGAAAACACTCTGCCAAAAGAGCTACCTCCCCAGGCTGATATCAGCAATTTTTTTTAATACAGCAGTAAAATGTGTAAACCAAAAGTAGCAAAATATGAATAATTGGTACATCTAAGTGGTACATGGGAATTCACTGTATCATTGTATTTTCCTACAGAAGTTTCCCTTTTGGGGGAACAAAATGTTTATCATGTGTCAGGAGTTAAAATTCCACCAAAGCTTGGGGTTGGAGAGATTGCTCAGTGGTTAGCGCTAGCTGCTCTTCCAGGACCTGGTTTTGATTTACAGCACCCACATGGTGGCTCACAACCATCTGTAGCTCCAATTCCAGGGAATCCAATGTTATCTTCTGGTGTCCACAAGCAATGCACACATGGTACTCAGACACACATGTAGGCAAAACACCCATACACATAAAGTGAAAATAAATCTTTAAAAAAAATCCCCCACAGCTGGGTGTTACACTGGACCCCACGACATCCTGTCTCCCTTCCTCCCCACTAAAATCCTGGTGATTGTAAGTGCTTGGTTCACAACCACCCTTCTACATGGCTTCCCACTTCCTTACACACTTCTGGCCACTCTGTGGCCTCCCTTCCTCTTGGCAGAGCTCAGCCTAATGCTCATTCCTGGGATTTCTGCATGTCTCACACATCTCCTCCCCCATCACTCACTGAGGCCTTCTGACCAAAAATGGTGCCACTACCCCACATCCTGGTATCACCCAGCTTTCTTCACATGATGCACAACCACTTTCCTGATTGTTAACTACCCTTATGCAGATAGAACAGGGCTTTGTTGTGAAAAATACACAGTCCAATAGTGTCTGTGATGGATGTAGTGGATCCTCAGTAAATTGTTTTTCTTTTCTTTTTCTTTCCTTTTTTTTTTTTTTTTTTTGAGACAGGGTTTCTCTGCATAGCCCTGGCTGTCCTGGAACTCACAGAGATCCACATACCTCTGCCTCCCAAGTGCTGGGATTAAAAGTGCACCACCACTGCCTGGCTCATTAAATATTTCTTAAAGTATTTATTTGATATTAAGTGTATGTGTGTGTGCCTGAGTGTATTTATATGCAGCAGGTGCATGTCAGGAGAGGAATGGAACTATAGTTAAAAGCAGTTGTGTGTGAGCCATCGTGTCAGTACTGGGAACCAAACCTGGGTCCTATTCAAGAGCAGCAAGCGATCTTAACCACTGACCTATCTCTCTGGGCCCCCCCTCAATAAATGTTAGACAAATAAATCTCTACATCCCTTCTGTGAGTCCTTTTCTTCCTCATTTATAAAGAGACCTCTTAGGGTTCAGAGAAAATTGGTGACTTGCTTAAGACCACACAGAAAATACAGCCTATGGCCTGTTCTCATGCAGGGGCTTCTCTGTCTCCTAGGTCATTTGAGAGATGGAGGTTTGAATGGCTCTACCTTCCCTGGAGTCTTCTGTTTCTCATTCACCCTTTTCTAAAAGGAAGGCTGAGGACAGTGCCCAGCAAGGCAAGTCGTTCCTAAGGGGTTCCCAGGGCTTGTGCTGGACCTGGAGGAAGCAGGTGAAGCCTCTACAAACGATGCCAGTGAGTTTGTGGACCTGTATGTGCAGTGGAAATGCTCCATGAGTAACCACATCCAGATGAATGTGAGGTTGATAAGCTCACAGGCAGATAACAGCTACCTTAATACCTATGCCATCTGCGGGACCATTTGCAGCATGGGCGAATCAGATAGTTCCATTCTCTGATTGGCTAAGGCTGATGGCACTGTCTCAAAAGAACTATTGGCCAGAGGAAATCAGGGAATAGTTATCACAGTGAGAACCGCCCCCCATAGTCTCTCAGGTAGCCCCAATCCCTCATTGTCCTCCCCCGTAGGGCCCAGGCCCACCTTGACCTGGGCGTAAAAGCTGCCCAGGCTGCAGCAGACTCGGCACTCCAGCATGGTGTCATCATTGTTGTGGGCATAGCGCAGGGCCTTCTCAAAGCTCTCTAGGGCCTTCTGGAAGAGGCTAAGGCCCAGGAAAGCATTGCCCATGCTCAGGCTGACCTGGCCCCCAAGCTGGGCACCAGCCCGGGTGCCAGGCAGGCCAAGGCAGGTCTTGCAGTAGGAGATGGTTTTGTGGAATTCACACAGTTTCTCATTGCTGCGTGCCAGGTTCAGGTAGCTTTCAAGCAGGAAGTCGGCATCCTCCAGCTCCCGTGCAGTGTCAATCTGGACCACAGCAAACTGACCCCGGGGTAGCAGGCAGGCAACACTCAGCCAAGGCTCAACCAGCACCCCTTCGGGTGCCACACCCTGCCCCACCTCTGAGTCAGGGCAGCCAACCCCAAAGCTCCGACTCAGAGCTTTTACCACCTCAGATCCATCCTCCTGGGCCCTAGCCACAGTCCATAAGCTTGAACTGCAACTCAGACCCACAGACACTATCCTTTCATCCCGTCTCAGATCTGGAGTCTACTGATGACCACCCAGACCCTTAAATGGACCTGTACCTCCAGGCAGCAAGCAGCACACTAAAACCTAGGTTTGGAGGTCTGATCTTGAGAACCATGGACTCTGGCCCTGATGCCTGAGAACCTCAGGCTCAGCGTCTTAGACACTGAAGCTGAAGGCCACAGGCCCCAGCTGTCTAAGCCTCAGGGTCTTCCATACAGATTGAAAACCTCAGACCCGGCCCCTAGCCTGTGAGATAGAGGATTCTCAGGAAGCTACAAGGGGGGCTGGGAGTTAGGAGCCACCCAGGCCTGTTCCCAGCCCTTCACAGCACCCGGGCCCCCCATAGCACCCTGAGAGGGTACATCTACCTTCAGCATCTCTTTGTAGCGGCCCATCTCTGAATGAGCCGTGACCAGGCATCCTAGCACTCGGAAGCGGCCCACGAGGTCGGAGCCCTTCTCCAGCACTTTCATCCACACCTGCAGTGCCTTCTCTGTCTGGTTGGACTGGTATAGCTGTAGTCCTTTTTCGATCTGTTGCTTTGTTTGGTCCTGCCCCATCCTCCCACAGCCTGGCCACTCAGGGAAAGACCGTGGTAGGCTAGGTGCCTCTAGACCCTCATAGTGTTGGATCCACAGTACCGGTTGCCCACTGACCGCTGGGAGGGAAAAGCAACACCAGGAGCTGAGCAGGGCTTGCTTGTATGGACAACGGGCGCCACCCTGGGAACAAGGCTGGTTCAGCCCCTGTCTGCAGCTGTCCCTGCCAGTTGGGGCCACGTGGCTTCTGAGGAATGTCAGCAGCAAGGTCACGAGGGTTTCTGCCGCACCCACCCAAAGCTGAAATGTGGCTTTTCCAGGGATGCAGGCATTCTGCCACCTGACAACCTGTTTTGGTGCCCCTTTTGACACTTCTGATACCAGCCTTGATGACCCTGGCAGATTAGGCTTTCCTGAAGCCTTGCCAAAGGCTGTCTGCCAGGATGACTGGGCAAACTTCAGGACAGGGGTTCTGACAGCAGGGAAGAAACAGGCAGGACGCTAGGCTCACAAGCATCAAGGAGGCGTGAGTGTCCCACCTGCTTATTCCCTTTTGCTCTCACCTCTACTTTTCTTGTTCTTTTTTTGTTTTTTAAAGCACGGTTTCTCTGTGTAGCCCTGGCTGTCCTGGGATTTTCTCGGTAGACCAGAACACAGAGATTCACCTGTCTCTGCCTCCCAAGTTCTGGGATTAAAGATATGCACCAATACCATCTGGTGTTTTTCAAGACAGGGTTCTTTTGTGTAGCCATGGCTGTCCAGGAAGTTACTTTGTAGGTCAGGCTGGCCTTGAACTCATAGATCCTCCTGCCTCTGTCTCCGGAGTCCTGATACTAAGGGCATGAGACACTATGTTTTGCTAATGAAGCACCTTGTTTTTCAACAAGGTTTCTCTGTGTAGTCCTGGTTGTCCTGGAACTCAGAGATCTGCCTGCCTCAGCCTTGCACCACTCAGATTAAAGGCTTGAGCTACCGTCGCCTGGCTTCACTTCTGCTTTCTTCCCAGTAACCCCACTGTTTTATTCTTGCATTTACCCATCACTTAGACACTTCCTTGGACACATGTCCACACTGTTCCTGACATGTTGATGCCAAAGGCATGCTCCCCTCCTAACTCCCTAAGCAATTCATGCAGCTCTCTAGGTCTGTTTCCTCCTTTACAAGGTCTGGGTAGTTAAACTCTCACAGCAGTGTGGTGGCTCACACACAGCACAGTGCAATGGCTACCAGCCTGGCTCTGCTTGCTGTGTATTTGTATTAGCTGTGTGAGCACAGAGAATTTGGGCAGATTACTGGGCCTGAGGAAGAAAGGACAACAGCACCCAGTTCATATGATTGTCACAGAACTTGAGGACTTGCTAGGTGACCAGGCCTCAGAACAGTCTCTGGAGTGAAGGTTTAAAAGAGTGTCCCAATTCCAGGGACTGGTGTAGTGAGGTAGTCCTTCTGTAGCACTGACCACGCCCATTGGGGGGTGGAGCGATGGGCGGAGGTGACCTGAGGAGGAGGTCGGAGGGGGCCAGGAAGGCGCTCTCTTTCTGGCGTGACTCGGACAGGAGAGGATCGGGTTGAATTTCCTGGTGTTCATCTGTCTAGGTTGTAAGTTATTCCTAAGGTCCCAAATTTTGTAAACCAATGCTGGCTTTGGAGTTGGATTTGGCTTTCCTTCTCTAAATTCAAGCATGTTGTTAAGATTAAATTCATGGTTTCTGCCTTAAATCAAGAAGCCAATTGGTGTAAGGCAGAAGAAACAAAATCTGGGGACTCATATCTTATGCAATTTTCTCTCTGAAATCCTAATTTTCTCACATACTTATTGTTGTCTTTCCCTAATGCATACCTTAAAACTTGAAAATTTTACTTTAATATTGATGTATAACTTTTCCACAAGGAATAATAACGATTCCTAACAGCAGTCTTTGAACTTTCCGAAAAGAAGATGGGGCCCCACATCATCATTTCCACTTGACTCAACCTGATACATCGGAACTACAAACATCACCCTAAAACCGGTTTGAGACTGTTTTGCTCGAGACAACTCATGACTAGCTAGCTGTAATGGTGCACCTTTTTATTACACCCTGGCCAGTTTCAAATAAAACTACAGTCAAAAATTTTCTGCCACACAGTGACTAACTACATATGTCACAGCCAGTTCTGTTAAAAAATTTGGTTACTAAAAATTTTCTTCCTACAGGATCCATTGAAACAATCATCGTCCCATTTCAGCAGGAAGTAATCTTAATATGACTACGCCCCCTTTCCCTACCCTTGGAAATTTGAGATAATAGTCATCGTCTTTGGGTTGGTTTTAGTTATTTGGGATTGGGTGATGCTTACACTCGGGTTTATCTTTTAGACAGGAATAGGGAATGGTGGGTAAAGGTATGGTTTAGATGGGATATAAGTAGATTAGCCTATTTCCTTGAGAATTTGAGTTTGAATGAGATAGTATTTTACAGCTTACATTGTTATGCATTCCTATGTGGTAAGCTATGTAAAATTAAGTTTATATTTTGTTATATTGTGTTAAATGTTTCCACTTATAATATTTATACACATTATTTTTTACCATATTCTATGTATGTATACTTTTCTTGTGTTCAAGACATTTTGTATATTGATACAATTTGGGATATTTATCTTGCTGCCCTTTATAGTTCTACCTCTTGTCTTGACACTTATACTCTACCTCTATTTTAGGGATTTACATGTAGGTATATGTAAATAGTTATATTGTTTAAGTATTTGTTCCTGCTTTACTCAGGAAAGTTTTAATCAGTCTTTTTAGCTAAGTTCCCGAGTATTATAGATTATCTTCACTCACATTTCCTGTACCTATGAGATTAGTCAGATATAGATGCTTAATCTTCAATCCTTCATAGACATGCAGAACATGGCATTTAAATGTTTTAATATTAGTACTCCTTTGACATGAGACACTGTTGCTCCTGACAGCACCGTGCATTTTCCCGAAAATATGTTGGACACTGTTGTTGCTCCTGCTGGAGTTCAATCTCGCCTCAGCTAATGGCCTGTTGGGCATAGAATTGCCCCCACCTTGACCACTGATTTGGACATGCAGTCCTATGTGCTTGCAGGAGACAAATATAGAAGACTGCTTGACCTTGCCAAGTCAGGGTAAGACAGCCATTCTATTTCCCTGCTGTTGTTGTGGTCTGTCAAGTTCTCTTGGCCTTAGCCAAATCTGGGTGTACCAACGTCGCTGTGAGACCTAGGGTGACTGTTCAGGTGGCTTGCTGTTTCTGTCCTTGCTGCACCGTTTTGGAAGTTGTCCATCCGCATTTCCTGTCTACTCTAGTATTGTTATTTTCCTTCTCAGGTCTTGATGAGGTTAAAGATTAAACTATCACAACTATTATTCTCTCTTCCTAGTTAGATATATTAGGTACTAGACTTACGTTTTCCAGCTTAGGACAACTCTATTGTAAACTCCATTATGCCCTCACCCTAGGACTAGATATGTAGGTCATTTTGTTCTCGATTTTCCTTTTCTTAGAACACACTTGTTATTCACTGTTTTGTATATAGTTTTGTATTAAGCCTAAATCTTTTCTTTAGACTAAAAGGGGAATTGTAGTGAGGTAGTCCTTCTGTAGCACTGACCACGCCCATTGGGGGGTGGAGCGATGGGCGGAGGTGACCTGAGGAGGAGGTCGGAGGGGGCCAGGAAGGCGCTCTCTTTCTGGCGTGACTCGGACAGGAGAGGATCGGGTTGAATTTCCTGGTGTTCATCTGTCTAGGTTGTAAGTTATTTCTCCCTAAATAAACATCTATTCGGCCTATTTGTTTATCCTGACCCTTATTTACCGCATTAGACTGGTGAGATGGCTCAGCCAGTAATAGCATTTGTTGTCAGACATAACAACCTGAGTTCCACCCCTGGGATCTACATCATAGAACAGAACCAACTCCAACAAGTTGTTCCCTCACCTCTATATGTGTATGTGCATTACACACACGAGTGCGTGCCTGCGCGCGCATACACATACACACACACACACTAAGAAAAAAATTTAAGTGCCCCAATTCTAATCCCTATCCTGATTTGACAGCTTCTCTAATAGTGAACTCTAATGCCAGGCACTGTGGTGGTCTTACAGAAAAAAGTAGCTTTTTGCTTTTGTTTTTTTAAGATAGGGTTTTTCTGTGTGACAGTCCTGATTGTCGTAAAACTTGCTCTGTAGAACAGGCTGACGTAAAACTCATTGAAATCCTCATACCTCTGCCTCCCCAAGTGCTGGAATTAAAGGCGTGCATCACCAATGCACAGCTGAAAATAGCTATTTTACATAGGAGACTCACTAGAGCTTGTGCAGTTGAAGGTAACAGAAGAGGTCTCTGCCAACTCCACTAGCTAGACTAATCCATGCTCCTCCGGCCCCACTGCAAAGTTCATTTTGTTAGAGCAGCTAATTCAGTGGATTTTCAGCATATTCTCAAATAACCAAAAAATAATAAGTAAAAAAAAAAAAAAGTTATATTTAGCTGAGTGTGTAGGAGAATTGTTTGTACGGCCATTCTACTGTGCCAATAAGGCCACCTTGAATCAAAGGATAGAGTCAGCAATTGGCTGACCAGGACTAGCCATGAAGTTCTTGGGAGGACTGAGTAGGTCTGCTAGAGAAGACAGGTGTAGGGAGCCGTCCCTGCATTCTCCATTACAAGATGGCGCCTGCATCCAGCTGGCGTTGAGAGTAAACAAGTCAGTGAGCAGGTGCAGGGTGATTTTCCCTCCCTTGGCCTCTGCCTCTCCCGTGTTGTCATATGGGCCGATGGGCTGCAGCCAATCAGGAGGTGACACGTCCGAGGCGAAGGTTGTAAACCTATATAAGGGTTGGGTTTTGGATGTTTGGGGTCTCTGCTCTGTAAGCTTATGCTCTCCCTCTCAAGATGCATTAAAGCTTTACTGCAGAAGGACCCTGAGTGTGCCGCGTCATTCTTGCTGGTGAGACGGTAGCGCGGGACAGACAGGAAAAGAGAAGAGAGAATTTCCAGGGGATTTCAGGGGTTGGTGGTTTGGGAAAAATGTGGAGGGTCAGCCAATCAACTCTCTGCTGTCCTTGGATTCAATAGGATTCAATCTCTGATTCCAAAGTTTTTTCTTATACTGGAACAATTTAGATATTCATGACA